TTTTGAAGCCCATCTATGCATTGTAGCATACTACTGCACGCATTTGTTGGGGTGCCAATTAAAATGAGCGGTATCACAATGGAAGATGTATTACAGGCAAACTACTAAATGTGCAGTTCAAATGCATGTACGGTTTTATCTGCCAATGGATTCGAAATTCTGTGTGGCCAATTTGTGGTAGATTTCCCTTTGGCGAGCCCAGAGTTGGGCTTTTTTTTCCTGAAACCACTTGCCTACTGGGCACTTTTACCCACTTCCTGTCCAGGCCAATTTTCAGATTTCAGCACTGTTGCACTTTGAATGGCAATTGCGCGGTCATGCAACACTCTCCTAGATTGTAAGCTCCAAGGAGCAGGGCCCTCCTATCCCTCTTGTATTGAACTGTATTGTTGCTGTATTGTCTCCCGTTATATTGTAAAGCGCTGAGCAAACTGTTGGCGCTATATAAATCCTGTATAATAATAACACTAACCATATGAAATTATCATAATTTTTTCACACAAATAGAGCTTTTTTTTGGTGGTAGTTCATCTCCATTGGGTTTTTTTTTTTTTTTTTTTTTGCACTATAAGTGAAAAAAGAGCAAAAAATTAGAAAAAAAAAAAAAGTTTCTTTGTTTCTATTATAAAATTTTTCAAAACAGGTAATTTTTCTCCATCACTGATGTGTGTTGATGAGGCTGCACTGATAGGCAGCACTGAAGGGAATTGATGAGGAAAACACTGATGATGCTGCACTGATATGCAGCACTGATAGGCGGCAATGACTGGCGGCACTGACAGGCACTTTTGGGGCTGCACTGATAATCAGTGCCCTGATTATCATTGTAGAAGTCCTCTGTGACAATTGCCAGTTATCGGTAGTACTTTCCTCACACTGTGACAGTGAGAGGAAAGTGCTGATGATTCTGCAATGATGATGCTGCACGTATATGCAGCACAGATGATGCTGCACAGATTTGCCTTGATGAAGTCACGTGTTAAGCGTGACAATACGCGTTGGCGGTGACGCTCTTCCGGTCGGACGCCTTCTTTATTTACATTGGACACCCATGCAAGTACATCTGATCTGAGGTTTGATTTACATGTGATGTACAAGATGATTTTAAATGTGAGCATATTCAATATGTGATACTTTGGTGAATAAATAGTTTTACACTATGCAAGCATTCACTTCTATTTTCTGAGGGATCAAGTGGCTGCAGCCATCTTATGTGCCTGAAGAGGAGATCTGCTGCCCTGTGAGCCTGTCCTGGAATCTGTACATGAGGGGAGGTCAGTGTGGAGAGCTGTGGAGGATTACCTACTATTAAGGGTCCATATGTTAGTGATCCTGAAGGCCTTTTGACCCTGTGCGGGTCGCAAGAGAGGGAGGTGAGCGGGCAATTCAGCCATTTTTGGATATCTCTGCACATTTATCAGCACTTTTTTTTCTTTTTTTTTTCTTCTTCTTCAAGAATTGTTGTGGACTTTATATATAGTTTTTTGTATATTGTCAGGTGTTTTACACCTCACGTGACTTTATATATTTATTCATATTTGTTTGCATGATCAGTTCTTAGTTTATGCGTTTATTGGGATGCACGTGTGTTTTGTGTTATATGGTGGAAACTGATTTTTAGTTCCGGGGGGAGGTTTTTTTTTTAGCACATTGAGTCTTGTTGTGACTTACATGTTTGATTTGGAGTACTATTGGATCCCATTGGATTACTTGGGGCACCATTTATGTTATTTGGTCCTTGTAGGACCTCGTATTGACACTTGTCAAATGTGATTATTTATGAGTTTTTTGGCACTATTTAATATTGTGTGTTTATGTTATTTGTGTCACTAATTTTGCACTGTTTCACTTATTCATTTATGTGTGAAGAATTTTATGGTAGTAGCGCTGCATCATTTGTGTTTCACTGACAGGTGGCACTGATGGGTGGCATTGGTGCGCACTGATGGGCAGCACTGATGATCAGGATACTGGTAATCAGTACCCTGATTACACTGTTCAACAAATTTTTATTTTTTGCCAGTTTTGGAAACAAAAGGATCCATTTCTTAATGAATTTCACATTCTGAGTTCAAATATAACAGTGAAATTTGTCAATTGGCTCTAGTTTTTCTGTAAACGGAAAGTTTTCTACTATAGGCGTAATGACTACATAATGCACAATAATTATATAGATAGATGTCTTTCCACAAATATAAAGCAAGTGATATTGACTACATAACAAAGCCTAAATGGCATAATATATTGCATAGGATTACCAAGAAAAATTATAGCCATAAGCTAAGTTGAATCATTTTAATACTTAGGATTCTCACTAGTTTTGTCTTCAGTTTGTGTCGGTTTTGCTTCTCTTGGCTTTTCTCTTGTATTCGAGGAAAGGGCTATCTCTTACAACTGCACGTGACTACACGCTTCAGGTTCTTCCTCACTTGACTCAACCACGAAGGATTCTGGTGCTTTAGGAATTGGTAGCCCCTCTCCACGAGGAACTGGACGTATTGCCGATGGAATATTTGGATAGTGCACAGATAACTTTTTCTTCTTATTTAGCCCTTTTACAATTGGAGGCACCATACAAAAGTAACAATTACTAACATGATCTGTTGGCTCTCTCCAAATCATTGGCACAGCGAAAGGCATAGATGCCTTTTTTCCATTCAACCATTGCTCCAGTGCCGTCCCACAAGAATTGTAGCATATATGTGGTGCCCAGCTCTTGTCCTGGTCTCCTATCTTGCAGCCAAAATACAAGTTGTAGGCTTTCTTAATCATTCCTGTTATCCTCCTTTTTTGTGAGATAAAAGTTATTTCACCGCAGATATAGCAGAAATTATCTGCTTTATTCACACAAGTTCGAGGCATTACTGAGTAGCCTATATAAGCATAAAACGAAATGTAAAGACGCTGTCGAACTACAATCAGCTACAGATACTGCAGCTTTTATGCAGTGAAGTGATGCAATTTAAGGCTAATATTGCATCATCTCAGTATACATGCAATTTTCTATTGGTCACCAGTATCAATTGCGCAATATGCAGCTGAAGTTGCATCATAATTTTGAATGGCTTACGTCATTAGATGGGTGAATATATCATGGAAACTAGAGCCAATCAACATTTTTTAGGGTCATTTTCGTTTTCAGCACCCCAAAATTATGTAAGATTAGCTAATTTTATGCCCAAAACTTTTTACCTGTTGAACAGTGTTATCAGTGTGGGTGTCCTCTGTAACATTTTCCGGTTATCGATAACCGACAACTGTATTTACTTAGAGATCAGCTCTGTCATTGGACACAGCTGATCATGTAGTAAAAGACAACTGTGATTGGCCTTTTACCTTGTCATGTGTGTCCGACGGACACAGTGATCATAGACAGCACCGGGTGTGTGCCGATGGAGTCGTGCAAGGGGAGCGTTCTTGGAGGATATCATATGATGCCCTCCCAGAACTGGACAACTGAGCTGTAGCCGTTATTCACCTATAACCCAGTTGTCAAGTGGTTAAAGCCTGACCCAGGAAAGAAACAAGCAGCTGATAAGAGCAGACCTGCCAAAAGTGGTTTATTACCACTTCCCTCCTCACATTCAGGCGCTCCCTCAAAACCCATCTCTTCAGGGAAGCCTACCCCACCCTCACCTAATGGCCATTCTCCCTCATTCCTCCCACCACTTCATTCCCCTCAGCCACTTCCTACTGTACCACTACCCCCTCCCTTCTAGATTGTAAGCTCGAAAGAGTAGGGCCCTCGATCCCCTCGTACGTTGTTTGTTATTGTTGTACTGTGCCATGTATTGTCCCCCCTATATTGTACAGCGCTGAGCAAACCCTTTGGCGCTATATAAACTCGATGTAATAATAATAATAATAATATTACAAATCCTATCCAGAGTAATAATCACTAAATTAGTGAATGCAAGTGGTATTTATTTAGATCACATAGATCATAAAAAGGTAGATATTAAATCATGGTGAACAATGTACAATCATAAAAATAAAATAAAAAACATAAAAACAAAAAAAAAAAAAAAACGTTCTGCGTTTTCCACTTAGCTGCATGTGTATCTAGTGATAGAGATAAGAAAAGCAAAGACTCCTTCTGTATTCATCAAATGGAAAGTGCAAATAAAAAAATCCACGTGTGAGTGCAGCTTGTTAATATCAAAGTCTGTATCCTTTTCAGTTCCTCAAATAGGGTAGTCAAGGCTTGTGTAATAAACCTCCTTCTTTGTAGATGTTCAACATCATAAAGCCTGACCCAGGGCTGCCGTTCCATTTTTCATGCAGTGGTGCAGGCAGATGCAACTACCTAGCTTGCGAGTAGGGGCGAAAATAGTCTAGCACCAGCCCTGCAGACAGGTACTCTTAGCTGTGCAGAGCATAGGTAACTAACGAGGGTTTACAGTCATGAACCAGTGAAAATATTGCTGGCCTGAATCCCTGCACTGCATGCACAGAAGGGAACAATCTCATGCAAAGAATAGAAACGTTGTCAGAGACTGCATCAAAGGTAAGCTTATCACAAAAGGAAAACAGATCAGGTTTTGCTACAAAGCAGACATGTCAGACTTACGGAGGATAAGAAGAAAAGAATCCCTTCCAGGATACAGTCATTATGTCTTTCCATGTCACACTTTTACAGCAAACGCCAGCACTTGGTAAAAAACAGACACACATAATATGGACGGGATACTTTGTACGTTAGACCTGGACTCCAGGACCAGCTGATTGGTTTTGACGCAGGAGTTGCCAGGAATTTCAACCGGCAAATATTTCCGCAAACAACTTTTACTGCATCTGTTAAGGTTCGTTTAGACGTGCTTTGAAATTTTAGGTACTATGGATGCCAATTAATGCGCCTTTTGTGCTAAATGCATTGATTCATTTTGCATGTGTTTTTTTTATGCGCTTGCACTTTTCAGACACCTCACCTGTGTTGGTTTTCTATTCAATTAATTCTTGCAGTATCATCTCCGCTTTCTAAATGCACCTTCACCCTAGGTTCACGTATGTGCGGGTGGTGCCGCTGCGGATCCGCACAAAAATCCGTGCAGCCGCACCACCCGCACAGAGAAATGCGGACCCGCAGGCGGGTGCCATTAGTTCTAATAGCATGCCACCAGCACTGGAAAACACAACTGTACTGGGAACCGAGGTTCCCGTGTGGGCTGCGTTTTCCAAAGAAGTGCAGGACTTCTTTCCCTGCGTGTGAATGAATGAGCTCTTATGCCCGTGCAAAACGCAGCCCGCCCACATATATGTGAACCGCAGGTAAATGAACTGTAAAATGTCATGGAAGCATTTCTGAGTTTGCAGTGCAGCACCATTAAAATCAATAGGCGAGTTTGACAGGTGGTACCGCCTGTCAAATTCCGTACCCAAAGTTAAAAATTCCACAGCCAGGAAGTGAAGCATTGCAGCAGAGGAAGCGGCATCTGTACAGTCTCATCCAGCTGTATTGGAACAGTTCAGGTGGGCACCCAGGAGCAGGGCAGCTGTTAGAAACCACAGGGCCCCATATGGCCAACCTAACAGGGCCCTTCACAAAAGAAACACTGTTTGCTATGATTTGGTTTATGAATGAACACAGTGAGCAATTGGTCCCGATCACTCGTTGTGTTCATTCAGAAAAGGAAGGGCCTGGTAAATGTGACATTTACCAGACGCTTCCCCCACTCTCCATCCTGAAGGATCCCATTGGGTGCTTGCAGGTGCAGGTGGGAAGGAGAGGAGGGAAGCCGGCAGCACTGTGGGGATCTTATGGTGCACAGAAAAGGGTGATGGGTGCAGCCAGGGGGAGCAATTAATAGAACCGATCCCCTATATGCCTCTTTCTGCAGCATCTGAAAACCAGCAGGAGGGGGAGGAGAAGCTTTCAGCTGCTACAGAGACAGCCATTCATCGGTTCCAGTAATTGCCTCCCCTCTGCTGTGCCGATCACTCTCCCTTCCCACATCTAATTCACCCAGCTGCCTGGGCCCCCCTGCTGGCCTGGGCCCCATACAGGAGGACTGGTGGTACCCCCTTATCCACAACCCTGCCCAGGAGGTAATAGAACCACAGCTTAGCCACCTGTTTTTACCTCCCCCGACTGCCCACCATTAAAAGAGCCCATAAAGCCAGCCGAACGCTACATGTCAAAATAAATTTTGGTGCAACACAAATGTGACCATGTGAACATCACTGTATACTGCGCTGCACATAACTGATACACACAGGAAAGTTTTTAACCTAATCCACAGAATGCATTTAAGGTAAAAAAAACCTACCTTTAGAGCCACTTTCATTCTGCAGAATTAGGGCTTTGATGGGCTTTTGTTTGCTTCAGATAGGTTTTGCATCCCCTGACATTTCTATAGGGGTGGAAAAGCTGCTTGATGCAGGTCAACTGCAGGTCAGAAGAAAGGTCAACTGCAGATCAAATACACCTGACAATAAATTCTGAAATCTCTGAAGGGTCTGAAACTGATTCCAATGGCACAAACCTAAAGCTCATCAACATAGGCCTTTTACTCAATAACTGCACATTTTAGTCTAATGTAGAAACTCTTCTAATCTGAACCAATATTGGTTTTATGAACACCCAGACTGTAGCAGTAGCGTGACCATGGAAAGCCTTTTGCAGCTATGCGACCATTTAAAAGCCAAGGAGCAAAGCAGTAAGGTGATCCGTCCTATGCAAAATAACCACAATGCGTACCGTGCTGTATTACGGCATGTTCCAGAAGACGGCGACACAGCTGCTCCGCCTCACCCCTAGTCCTGGCCTCTCGTTCTCGGACCAACCAAGTGATTATCTCCGAAGCCACAAAGGCGCGATCGTATTTGACTCCATCCTCTTCTCTGGTTTGTAGAAGTGGGATGTCCGAGTTCATTACCCTGTCATAACACAAACAGCGGGATGTTATGTTCCTCATCTCCTAGATTGTAAGCTCCAAGGATCAGGCCCTCCTATCCCTCTTGAATTGAACTGTATTGTCTCCCGTTATATTGTAAAGCGCTGAGCAAACTGTTGGCGCTATATAAATCCTGTACAATAATTTCTTTCAGCAAAGGCCAAGCCATTGAATAAAACCTTGCATGTTGGTACAACTTTCACCCCCTCATTTAAAAAAAAAAAAAAAAAATTAGGCTTTATGAAGATGAACCTGTGGCCAGACAATGGACAGTCAAATATTTATTTAATGTTGGGATACAGTGTTCATGTATTTTCATGCAACAACTACATCAGTATTCAGTTGACATATTTTTCAGCCAGTAGATGGCAGTGTTTATACATTGTAGCTGCATCTGTAGTAATGTATACTCTATGTCTTTTTCTGAATAAAATTTCCGGTTTCCATGTTGCAGTGAAGCAGAAAAGCACATGTGGACTGTGCACTGTGTTTTTTAGGGCTATATACAGAATTTCTAACAGGTCATGGGCCTAGTTTCCCAATCATAGCCTGCTACAGCAAATAAGTGCAAGATACAGTAACAGAAAGAAGACTGCAACAGAAAAAAGAAAATAACCAGTAAAACAGCTGAAAAGAAGGTTTAATTTGCAAACCTGACAAATCAGAACTACCAGCCTTGGAAATTCAAGATGCAACCAATAAGAGAAAGTGAATGGAAATATATAAATGAAGACAGGCCAGAACACCATTGAGAGGAGTGGATAGAGAAAGATCAGAAAGTTCAGGAGGACAATCTCTCTTAGATGATCAAATTATAGATGATGATCAAATTATACATATACGTAAGTGTGAAACTGCTAAAGAAATGTGGGAAGGATTACAAAAGGTTGCAAGAAAGAGCTAATCTCAGTAATACACTGTATTTGATTAGAAAGCTATACCAAATCAAGCTGATGAACAGGGGCGGACTGACATCTCATGGGGCCCCCGGGCAATAGGGGATCATGGGGGGCCCCTGTATCCTTGCCCAAACTCAAAAAAGCCTATGAAAAAAGGTACCAGGTGCATTTCATGGGGCCCTATACTGACCCTGGGCCCTCGGGCAGTGCCTGAGTTTCCAAATGGTCAGTCCGCCCCTGCTGATGAAAGGCCAGGAGATGCAGGATTTTATAAGGCACACCTTGGAAATGGTTGAACACCTGAGAGGTATAGGAGAAGAAATAAAAGATTTTCATGTCACACCACTATTACTTTTTACCAAGAAGGTATGAAACGCTTGTCAAAGCACTCGATTCATGTCCAGACAATGAACTGACATTAGAATATGTTAAGGGCAGGTTTATGGATGACTAGAAGCATAAAACAAAGCATTTATAGTGACAGTGCCTCTATTACAGAATCTCCTTTAAAGACAAAAAATAGGAATAAAGACAGTAACATGAAACAAGAAACATGTGAATACTTTGTGGGCAAGAAACAAGGCCATTTAAAAGCATATTGCAGAATCTGGAAAGCTAGAATGCAAAAACAAACTAAACTACAAAAGGCCAAAAGTGTGAAAGAAGAAACTGATTTTTCATTAGATAATGAATATGTTTTTCAATCCAAAAGTTGCACCTCATCTTTGCAGGCATGGTGTGTTAAGGAGCTACGAGTCACATGACAAATGACAGATTTCTTTATTCACCTTGACCAGAATAAAACAGAAAATCACCTCAGCTAATAAGCAAAGAATAGAATCAGAAGGAATAGGAGACGGTTTTCTTTACTGTCCTATTTCCCAGAGTGTCACCAGAAAGATACCTGACTAAAGTGTCCTGTATGTCCCTGCTCTTAAAAATCATCTTTTTCGGTGAAGAAACTCACAAAACAAGACAATGTAGTGACCTTCCAAGGTGCCAGCTGTGCCATCACAAAAGGGGATATCTTACTTGCAAAGGCTAAAATTACAGATGAAACATCAGTGTGGTCAAAATTTCATGAACGTACACCAAGGCTTCAAACCAAGGACAATTTCCACACCACATGAAGGTAAGTAACACATGAAGGTGTCACATGAAGGTAAGTAACAAAGTGACGCAGAAATAAAAATGAATGCAGACAATCCAAATACTGTAAAAGGAAGAAACCAGACCACAAGAGGTTTCAATCAGAAAATCCACCAGAAGCAATAAAAAGGCATCTCAGCCAGATATCTGTCCTATGTTGCTTGTGTAGCAGTAAAACCAGAGCCAGATTCATGGGATGAAATGCAAAGACTTCCAACACATGAGAAAGTTTATAGAACTGAGATCCGAAATGGGACTAATATAAGAAGTAGTTGTTGAGTGTGGGTGTTGGAATACAGTGTTCATGCATTTTATGCAACAACTAAATCAGTATTCAGTAAAGCTATATTCTTCAGTTTGTAGCTACATCTATGGTTCTTTTCCTGAATAAAAAAAGTATCATGTTTCCTTGTTGCAGTGCAACAGAAAAGCATATGTGGACTGTGTACGGTCTGTTCTGTAGAGCTAAAGTATATACAGCATTTCTAATAGTTGAACTGAACTTTGCCCAAGCATTAGGCTCAGACGGCTCATTGATGCACATGGAGTGCAAAGGATGGCCTGTACAGTCTGTTCCAATAGAAGAACTAATGTAGCTTAAATTGATGAAAACGTTAATACTGGTTCTGATAGAAAGGTATCAGGACACACAGTACATCGCAGTTTGTTGTGTATTTGGTGGCATAGCTGCAGACTGGTCAGGGTACGTGAGCATCAGGACTGGACCACGGAGCAATAGAAGAAGGTGGTTCGGTCTGATCTTGAATTCAAGAATGGTTATAGGAACAGAACAAGGAGTTCCAGGTGTTGACTTGGCCTCCAAATGCTCCAAATCTGAATGCAATCAAGCATCTATGTGATGTGCTAGAAAGACAAGTCCAATCAATGGAGGTCCCATCTCTCAACTCACAGGACATAAAGGATACTGCTACTGATGGTATGGTGCCAGATACCACAGCAGAGGTCTAGTGGAGTCCAAGCCTCCATAGGTTATGATGGGTGATCATAATATTATGGATCATCAGTGTATTTCTTCACTGTCTAAGTACATCCCCGAATTCAGCAGATTCCGGATATGTCCATGTTGTGTAAACAAATACTTTGTATCTGACCGGGTTTAATGTTCACTGTTAGTGGAAGAATGAGCAAAAGCAGTCTGGCTGTAAGATTGCTTTCCCCCGTGGTTATTCGACTGCAGCTGTAATATCTCTGTCCCAGTTTCTATCATTCTTGGCCAATCTCCACCAGTCTCATCGGCCAAGAGGATTTGTAAATGATTCCACAGAGGGATTACTCCTGAATTATACATCTTATACTGCGGCCACTGAAACTTGACTGTGACCAGCAAGCTGCACCCAGAAGCAAGAAAGGATAAGCCCAAGGAAACTGGAATTAAAGTGTTAATAGAAGAAGAAAATGCTTTAAAGATCTATAGATGAGAATAAGGCAAGTGTAACCATGAGTGATACAGCTACATCCATTCTCCTGATCTGGAGATTATTGGGAGTAAAATTTGGTAGCTGTTGCGTTCTTGGCGCTCCTCTCTGGAGGAGTGTACTATGGGAGCTCTATGGTCAGCAGAGTGTCTGTAGAGGTGTGTGTGTAAAAGTCAGGGAAACCGCAAAATCTATGAGATTCTTCATGTGTGATTGCACCTTATTATACCGAGAGAGAAGGGGGGAGAAAGAAGTAGTGAGAAGGAGAGAAGGAAAGAGAGAGTGAGAAGAAGAGAGAGTGAGAAAGAAAGAAAGAAAGAGAGAAGGCGAGAGAGAGAGAGAGAGAGAGAGAGAGAGAGAGAGAAGAGAGAGAGAGAGAGAGAGAGGGGAGAGAGAGAGGGAGAGAGAGAGGGGAGAGAGAGAGGGGGAGAGAGGGGGGAGAGAGAGAGGGGAGAGGGAGAGAGAGAGGGGAGAGAGAGGGGAGAGAGAGAGGGGGGAGAGAGAGAGGAGAGAGAGAGAGAGAGAGAGAGAGAGAGAGAGAGAGAGAGAGAGAGGGGGAGAGGGGGGGGAGAGAGAAGGAGAGAGGGAGAGAGAGAGAGAGAGAGGGAGGGGGGAGGAGAGAGAGATGGGGGAGAGAGAGAGAGGGAGAGAGAGGAGAGATTAGAGAGAGGAGGGAGGGGAGATAGGGAGAGAGGGGAGAGAGAGGGGAGAGAGGGGAGAGATAGGGGGGGAGGAGGGGGGAGAGGGGGAGAGAGGGGGGAGGGGGGAGAGAGAGGGGAGAGAGGGGGGAGAGAGGGGGAGGAGGGGAGAGGGGGGAGAGGGGGGGGGAGAGAGAGGGGGGGAGGGAAGGAGAGAGAGCAAGAGTGAGAGCGAGAGAGAGAGAGCGCGCAAGAGTGAGAGAGAGCGAGAGAGAGCGAGCACGCAAGAGTGAGAGAGAGCGAGAGAGAGGGAGAAGAAGGAGAGAGGGGGAGAGAGGAAAAAAAAATGAAAGAAAAACAGAAGAAAAGGGAAGGGAAGAAACAAAAGAAAAAAGGGAAGAAACAGAAGGAAAGACAAAGAAGAAAAAATTAAAGGAAAAAAAAAGAAAGTGAATAAAATAAAAATGAGAAGAGAGGAGAGGATTGAAAAAAGAAAAAAAAGAAGAAAAAAAAAGAAATGAATGACAAGAGCACAAAAGAAAGGGAAGGGAGGAAAGAGCAAAAAAGAATGGAAAGAGAGAGAGAGAGAGAAAGAAAAAAGAAAGAAGGAGAAATAGGAGGAAAGAGTAAAAGAGAGAGGGGTAGACAGAGACACACGGGACAAGTAGTTGGGGTTGTTCTGTAGCTATGAAATCACTATATGGAGCTTTGTAACGACATACTTAAAACAGAATTAATGGTGAAGAACTAATGGCTGCCGGAGGCTGGATGAATAGCAGCTGACCAGGCAGTTGGCAGTAAAATTGGGACATGACCTTTGAGCTACAGAATACCTTCTGTAATAGCAGAGGAACTGTAATAAATGTCCCTAGAACCCATCCATAAAACCAGCAATTCATTTCTCCTCACTTCCTGTGTGGTCACCTGGACAGCAGGGAAGTTCAGTCTTCCTAACAGATGGCAATGAAAGCCTGACAGAGGTCAAAACCTTTCCCCATCCCAACCAAAACAAGAAGATCCGACCTAGTCAGGGTTGGGCTTTAATTGCTGCCCATTTTTGGCAGAAGGCTCTTCACATGACATACTTTTCAGAGAGGCGCTGTCCTCGCACGAAAACCATCCCTTCTGGCTCCAGCGGGAGGGTACCATCATCTTTTCTAAAGCGGTAGAAGTGTTTGGAATCTTTAAAATTGGTGTATTCATCACAAGCAAGCTGCAACAACAAAGAGACGGTCAGTCTTAAATGGGAAAAGATGACAAGCCATTTGTATAGTTTTACAAACTGGAAAAATATATATGTGAGAGGGGCAATCTACTACAAATAACAAATCCTTCACAGTTTCTCTGGAGTCATGTCATACCTGTTCCACCAAGGAGCTCACAATCCAATGAAAAGATCGAAAACACTCATTTAACACCATTTAAAGTGTAAGTTCAGCTGTACCATGAAGCACACTATCCGTCCCATAGGGGTACAGCAGAATAGTGTGATAACCTAACTTACAGCCAGGGCTTCATTTCTGTTTAAACATTGCAGTCCAAAACCTCATTTAAAAGAATCTTCTTCACATCCTCTGCAGCCTGCGATGGCTTTGTCCTGAGTTATTGTAGGGATGGAGCAGATGTTGGGACCAGTGCCCCCTAGGGCCACATTGTCCTGTTCTTTGAGGCTGCACATGCTCAGTGTGTCTGGAAGGTAGGTTTAGCACACTATGCTTTCTATACCCAGAAGGCACAGCATAGCGTGCTTTCTGGTAAAGCTGAACTTTAAATACATTCAGTTTCAATGAAAACAAAAGGTTTGCAAAGTCTTATTATGTGTGTTGATGTTTTTTTGTAATGCAGCCACAGCCAGAATAAATCAGCCTACACCCTGCCAGCACATTGCAGAAAGGAATGCTGCTATCTGTAAGCTCAGGCTCCCTGCTGATTGTCTTTTTAATTGCATTTTCTTGTGGTAGATTGGAATTCCCATTGTAAGCCTTTGGTTGCTTTGGCCAGCCATACACGGATTGAAATTCAAGTATGGGTTAGCTGATTGTATACAAGTCGATCTATCAATCAACTTATATACAACCAGCCTGTCATGTTTCTCCCAAACTATCAGTGCCCCCCACTATAGCCAGCAACACTGATCATTGTATTCAGCCAGTGGGGAAGGCTCCCCATCAGTAGAATTCATTGGCTAAGCGGGAAGGATTCCCCCATCCACATCAAATGTGTAGATGAGGGCACTGGCTACTTTTTTTTTTCCATTCAACCCTTTTTGAGAAAAAAGGAAAGAAAGAGAGAGAGCGAGAAAGAAAGAAAGAAAGCAAAAAAAAAAAAAAAAAAAAAGGAGGGAAAAAAAGGAGGGAAAAGAAAGCAAGAAAAAAAAAAAAAAGGAGGGAAAAGAAAAAAAAAAAAAAAAAAAAAAAGAAAAAGAAGAAAAAAAAAAAGAAAAAAAAAAAAAAAGAGGGAAAAGAAAAAAAGAAAAAAGAAAAGGAGGGAAAAGAAAAAAAAGAGGGAAAAGGAGGGAAAAGAAAAAAAAAAGAGGGAAAAGAAAGAAAAAGAGGGAAAAGAGGGAAAAAAAAAAAAAAAAGAAAAGAGGGAAAAAGAAAAAAAAAGAAAAGAAAGAAAGGAAAAGAAAAGAAAAAGGAAAAAAGAAAAGAAAAAAAAGAAAAAAAAAAAAAAAAAAAAAAGGGGGGGGGGGGGGGGGTATGAGAGAAAGAGAAAAAAAAAAAGATTTTGACAAGAAATGGAATTGAAAGTTCAGTTGCTTAATGAATCTGCCATGTGTATGGGCAGCTTTATTGTAAAGAGCGCTCTTGTATGCTAATGGTACAATATTCTTCCCAATTTGTGAGATGATCAGTTTAAGGAGAACATTGCCATAATTTAAAACAGTGGTCTCCAAACTGCAGCCAGGGGGCCAGATGTGGCCCTTTGATTGCCTTTATCCGGCCCTTGGGGCACCATTCCTCCTGCTGACACCAATAAAGTGGCATAATTCCTGACACTGATACCAGCAATGGGGCAGTATTCCGCTCATCGACACAAACAATGGTGGGCAATAGTCCTCTCACTAATACCAATGATGGGGTATTGTTCACTCCCAATGACTCTGGGGAATTTTCTGCTCTCACTGGCCACAGTCCACCCCCTCAAAGTTTGAAGGACAGTAAACTGGTCCTTTGTTTAGAAACTTTGGAGATCCCTGATCTAAAAGAATGAATAATTAAAAGGAAAATAAAATCTGTCCCTGTATATTGTGACATATCAGGAATTGATGTATGCTGACTTGAGGTTTACTTTAAAGTATAAATTATGATAATTTATTATTATACTGTAAATTATTATAAATTAAGACTTTAAACAAGCAGATAATACACCAACTGCTTAGATGCATTCCTTCACTCACCATGATGGATGATATTGCTTTGAACCATTTTTTGCATCAGTTCCATAGCTACGGGCCTATCAGTGGCTTCTTTCCTATCGATAAGCCAGTCAAGCCCTTCTCTGGCCACAAAACAGTTTGGATATGTCCTCAGATGGTACCTTCTGTCTCTTATTATTTTGTCTTCATGCAGCCGAAGCTAGGAAACAATTATGGATTACTAGATGCAAATATTGATTGCATATATTTAAAAAAACAAAAAAAAAACAGTTGTACTCCAACTATGTAAGCATTAACCACTTGAGCTCCAGAGGATTTACCCCCCTTAATGACCAGGCCTTTTTTTGCTGTTTGGCGCTGCACTAATTCAAATGATAATTGCGCGGTCATGCAATGCTGTACCCAAACGAAATTTACGTCCTTTTTTTCACACAAATAGAGCTTTCTTTTGGTGGTATTTTATCACGTGTGCGCTTTTTATTTTTTGCGCTATAAAAAAAAAACCACGAAACTTTTGAAAAAAAAACAATATTTTCTACTTTCAGCTATAAAAAATATATAGTAAACTCAAAGTTAGTCATAAATTTAAGCCAAAATGTATTCTGCTCCATGTTTTTGGTAAATAAAATCCCAATAAGTGTATATTGATTGCTTTGTGTGAAAGTTATAGCGTCTACAAACTATGGTATAGATACTGTAATTTATGCCTTTTTTTGCTATACAGCGCTGCACTAATTCAAATGATAATTGCGCGGTCATGCAATGCTGCACCCAAACGAAATTTACGTCCTTTTTTTCACACAAATAGAGCTTTCTTTTGGTGGTATTTGATCATCTGTGCGCTTTTTATTTTTTGCGCTATAATAAAAAAAACACGAACATTTTGAAAAAAAAACAATATTTTCTACTTTCAGCTATAAAAAATATATCGTAAACTCAAAGTTAGTCATAAATTTAAGCCAAAATGTATTCTGCTACATGTTTTTGGTAAAAAAAAAAATCCCGTGCATTAGCGGGCAAACTGGCGCTATCTAGGAGGGGCTCTAACACTAATCGGAAGTCACCAGTGACACTAATACAGTGATCAGTAAAAATCTGTTCGCTGTAATCAATGACACTGGTGACAGGGCGGTGAAGGGGTTAACTGGGGGGGGGGAGGGGGGCGATCAAGGGGTTAAATGGGATTACTGGTGTACTGGTGGGGGTTAACAATCTGGCGCTATCTGGGAGGGGCGCTAACACTATCGGAAGTCGCCAGCGACACTGATACAGTGATCAGTAAAAATTGGTTCACTGATCAGTGACATTGGTGACAGGGCAGTGAAGGGGTTAACTGGGGGGGGGCGATCAAGGGGTTAAATGGGATTACTGGTGTACTGGCGGGCAATCTGGCGCTATCTGGGAGGGGCGCTAACACGATCGGAAGTCGCCAGCGACACTGATACAGTGATCAGTAAAAATCGGTTCACTGATCAGTGACACTGGTGACAGGGCAGTGAAGGGGTTAACTGGGGGGGGAGAGAGATTAAGGGGTTAAATGAGATTACTGGTGTACTAGCGGGCAATCTGGCGCTATCTGGGAGGGGCACTAACACTATCGGAAGTCGCCAGCGACACTGATACAGGGATCAGTAAAAATTGGTTCACTGATCAGTGACACTGGTGACAGGGCAGTGAAGGGGTTTAAACGGGATTACTGGTGTACTGGCGGGCAATCTGGCGCTATCTGAGAGGGGCGCTAACACTATCGGAAGTCGCCAGCGACACCGATCGCAGTGATCAGTAAGAATTGGTTCACTGATCAGTGACACTGGTGACAGGGCAGTGAAGGGGTTAACTGGGGGGGGGGGGGGGCGATCAAGGGGTTAAATGTGACCTAGAGTGTTCTAACTGTCAGTGTGTAGTGTTTTACTCTCACTGTTTGGATGTCTTCTTCTCTGTCTGGAACGGAATGTGTCCAGGCAGAGAAGAATGACATCATATCCTGCCCTGTGTAAATGTCAACACAGGACAGGATAGGACAGGGACCGATCATGTGATTTCAGCCAGAAATCACTGGCTGAAATCTAATGAGTGATCCCTCCCGGATCGAATCGTGTCACCCGCGGGTCGGCGGGAGCGCGCGCGCGCCCCCTACCCGCGAATGTGTCGGGAGCGCGGAGCACGTTTTAAAACGTGCTTTTGCGCTCCACTGCCGCCCTGCACACGTATATACACAGTGGCAGGGCGGCAAGCGGTTAAAAAATATTAAACTTATCTGCATTGGGTAGTATTAGGCCCCATTCACACTCGGTGATTTGGAATTACTGCCATTCTGCCCATGATTTCAAATTGCTGTTAAACAAGTAAAACGCGTTTGAGTTCCATTCATTTTTTTAAATGGCACCCTAAATGCGGTGCAAATTTGCCGCGATTGTCATGGACAGAATGGCATAAAAATCACAGCAAAAACATGCCTTTAAAAATCGTGGAGCAGAAGCTTCTTTTGGGTGACAAACTTGCATAAGGCAACCCACTGAAGTGACTGGGCGCCGCTATTCGGGACACACAGAAACACATGTAAAATTACACTTAAATTGCGAGCGGAAACCCTCCTTCCCGCTACGCGAGATCTGAATGAGGCCTACATGCTGGAGATATAGCTCTATATTAACTCCCCATAACTGAATGCACTTCACCGTCTAGAATTTTTGAACAGTGCAGTGCTATTATCAGTACATGTTTCAGGCACTAGGGGCTGGAGGGGGGAAGGATTTGTTTTTTTTTAGACATGTTTACAGGAAGAGTAAAGCTAAGAGTGTTT